CTCACTGATGTCGCCACATACAGTGCAGGGACTATAGCCCTGCATTATACGTGGGTACGCGAAAGGACAATTCACAAGCTGGAGTGTAGGGGAGAGGTGCACGCTGACTGCCGGTGAGTGAGGGTCAGGTAAGTAAAAGCTTATGGACTTATGGAACATAAATTTGCCAGCAGGTGGTTTTTTAGTGGCAGGAAATCTTTGAGTTTCCTCTGCCCAGAAAAAGGTCTTTACTTTTATGCCAGAGTTATTATCTGTACACTTAGCAGGGCACATGTGCAATGTAGTGACCCGTCACGGCTGATTCTTGGCATCTGTAAGATGTCAAGAAAAGAGCTGAGTGCACAAAACAAAAACACGGTCCTGGAAGAAGTGGCAGTGAAATATGGGGCGCTCGGACCTCGTTTTTGGAGGAGAGCACTCCTAGAGGTAAGTGTGCCATCATTTACAAGTAATTATTATTGGTATTTATATAGCACTATATTCACATAGTTCACATTCACATCCGTCCCTGCCTTCAAGGAGCTTACAGTCTAAGGTCCCCATCTCACATGCACACATAGGAGGGCCAATTTACCTTCCAGCATGTCTTTGGAGTGTGGGAGAAAACAGTAGTACCCGGAGGAGACCCAGATAGTGTTTGTCTGAGCAAAACTGTCAGAACTGCACAGATGATGTCCTGACAGGGATCTGAACCAGAGTGCTTTAGACCCGGTTCACACCTTGGCAATTTGTAGCGCGTTTGAACGCTCTGCAAAACGCTCAAACACCGAAATCCCATTATTTCCTATGGGTATGGTTCACACCTGGGCGTATTACAGGCCGTATGAACGCGCTACAAAACGCCCTACGCCCAAAGAATTACAGGAGCTTCTTTGGGGCGTATTTGCCGTGCGTATCCATTGGGATACAGCCAGGTAGCCCTCGGAAACGCGTGTTTTTTTACCTCGAATCGTGGTAAAAATGCGCGGCGTGAAACGCGCGACAAACGCGCATGTTCGATACGCCTCAGTGTGAACCCAGCCTTAAGGCAGAAGTGCTAACCACTACACCCCTGTAATGCTGTAAAGTTCCACTGTAAACACTTTCGAGAGTAAAACCTGTGAAGGCATCAGCTGATGCTTGTTGATTTTTGTGCCTTTTACTTTCAATAAATGTTACATTTACTACCAGGAGTTTCCTGGACCTTTTTGTTTTGCTTCATATACATTCACTTTACCTTTGCTGCATCTGTCAAAAAAGAAATGTAATCTCTTGCTTGGTTTTATTTTGCAGAGAATGCCTGCGTGCTGTTTGCCATCTCCCTGTTAATGTTTACCATGAGTGCTATGATGGTGTATGGAGCAATAACGGTGAGTACCGGTCAGACAGGAAAAAACATGTTTTACTATAGATTTTTGTTGTATGCAAATATTTTAACCATTAGGAGTGCAGGTACATGTGTGCTATGTTCTGCTGTGCAGAGTTTTCTATACTGTAACAGCAGTTCCATCATTTCTGTGCGGTATTTTATTACTTTGATCCCCCAGCTTATGGACTGCACATTCTTATTGTCAACGCTGTATTATAAATCCAGATACAAATGGTTACAACCAGGAATACGATTAAGGTGAACCCATACTTTGCCCTAATGCCCTTCTCCGCCTCTGCAGATACTTGTCTTATTTCACTCCGCCACTGCAGTGTTCAGCCATCAGGAGAGAAAAGAATACCCAGTACTTCTGTGCATGGAGGAGCATGTGATTCACTTTATCTTATGTGACTGATGCTTGGCAATTGGCCCAGCACTGCCATATCGGGCTAAGCAGTCCTCAAACTTATGTAAGCTCAGACTAGAGTGGCTTGAAGCTTACATAGGACTTCCTTTCCTTGCTTTTGACAGCTGAAAGGAGTAGCAGGTGCCGTATGTATGTGCTGCTGGAGCGGGCAGCATTAAAGGACAATTAAACGCTCGTGCTTTTTTGCATATGTCCACTACTAGCATGCAGTAGATACAGTGGTACTTCGGTTCACGAATGCTTTTTGTTCGCGAACAGGAAGTTCGGCAAACTTTTGCTTCCGTTCACGAACTCCGCTTCGGGTGACTAACACAACCGCAGCCATTTTCCCCGCTCTGACACACGGTCATGGCTTCCTCTAGTTGAGATCGTGGTCTGATCGCAGTTTGATTCGGTTCGTGACCAGAATCGCGCAATGAATTCAGTTTGTGAACTCAGATACCACTGCATATGCAAAAACATAGAAAAAGTTACCAAATAGGTTTAAACTGTCTCTGCCGCTCGCTCCCGTCTGAAGATTCTCAGGCGGGCGCATGCGCAGTAGAGATTTTCGGCCGGAAGAAGAGGAGAGACGCAAGGTAAGTCAGCAGCCTGGCAGCGTGCACAGGCTCCGTGGGACACAGAAGACCCAGCAGTCAGCGCTGGATCAGAGACCGGCACCAGCACTGGAAGGACTCTAAAACTACTGGATAGAAGATCAGATCAAGAGGCATCACTTAAGGGAAGACCTTACAGCAGCATCGTCACTTTTAAAGTGAACCTGCATGGACAAAGCACAGTATCACTTTAAGGCCTGGTTCACACCTAGGCGTATTGCATATGCGCGTCTGTCGCGCATTTTTTAACCGCAATTTGCGGTAAAAAAAAATCGTGCGACAAACGCGCGTTTCCCGAGGGCTACTTGGCTGTATCCCAATGGAAACGCCCAACAAAAACGGCCCAAAGTAGTACATGTACCTTTTCAGGCGTGGGCCGTTTTGTAGCGCGTTAGGGACGGGCTGAAATACGCCAAGGTGTGAACCAGACCCATTGAAAACAATGGGATTTAGATGTCTCAAAACAAAAATGAAGACTCTCAAACCAAAGCGGGACCTACTGAACCCTTAAGATTGTGTGTCATATGATAAATGTTTAGGAACTATAAGGCTCTATTTGCCGGTGCAGTGCCAGAACAGCTCCTGCCCTAGGAAAGTGGCAGTGACTGTAGTTGGCCCTCAGGGCACATGGAGCATAAGGAGCTCCTACATAGTGACAAGGAATTATCATTTCAGCAGATCCGACATAACGGCTACTGAACCATCCATCACATGCTTTGCAAGCACTGTCGGGGCACATTTTTGGCTGTCAGTATGATTAAAATATGTCCCGTACTTAAAGATAAAAATGGACAGTGTCATGTGAGACTTATAGAAGCGGCTCTTGCTGAACTCTTCTTTTAAAAATGTTAAACTGGGTACACAGAGAGCAAATGTTGGCCAATTCACCTGTTCAAGTGACCCTAAACTCCAGAGTTGTATCTTAGAAATACATTTAAGTCCCTTAACTATGAACAGAAATGTCTCTTATTTGTGTATAGAAATGTATACTGTTGTTCCCCATGGTCCCTGTGTGTGTTGTAAAGTAGTCACCGCTCCAAGCTTGCTCCTGTGATGGACTACAATCTCATGTTTAGTTTACTTATTTGTAATGAGATTGTAGTCCATTACGGGAGTGAGCTTGGAGCGGTGACTACTTTACAACACACACAGGGACCATGGGGCAAAAAAGTTGCCCCCCTCCAGAAGGAAGGGCAGTGTCAGCACCAACTCAGAGATGATTTTTGTTAATAGTTAAAGGAGAACTATGAGGTGAGTGACTTTCACTAAGCCTCATAATCTGAGCCGACCTGTGACAATGAGACTGTCACAGGTCGGCTCAGTAGATCGGGAGGTGAGCGAACACACATCGTTGCTCGCTCACTTCTCAATCTATCCCTGCAAAGAGCCGTGGCTGTCAGCGGGAGTTCTGTAATCTCTGTGAGGTGATAAATACTTGCAAGTGTTACACATTACTTGGCATGTATGCACTTAGAGAAAATGGG